CGTTAAAATAGGTCTCTTTTCCACGGTGGCACATAATAACACGGTTGCACATTCTATTGATTCTAATGAACAAATAAAATTTTCTGCTCCTATTATGCGAGTTGTTTTGAGCTATTACTTGTTCACTTCCCCCGTGAAGTTTAAATCATTACCGGCAAAAACTTTTGACGAGTTTTTGTTGAGAACTATCGAGCGCATGAGCCCATCTATATTGTCTGAATCGTTTGGAAAAGGTGCCAAATCTGGTCCTAATTCGCATTTATATGAGAGAAGTTGGCAAATGGAATGGTATCGTACTGCTACAACTGCAGTTCCAGAGAATACATCGATAAGCGCAGACGTTGGTCCTGTGTTTGGCTCAGTTGGTTTTCTGGATTTCTATGTTAATGGAGAATTATGCTGGGGAATTGAGCTAACTCGTGAGGGTGATCGTCTAAAGAAGCATGCAGAACGATTTGAACAAGATGGTGAATACGCCAATATTCCATTGAAAGATTGGGCCATTATTGATTTCCGACATCATACAAAACAAGTAAGGGAATTAAAACCAAACTTCTGGTATGTGCTCTACGCAGATAACTACAAATGCGTTACTATTAAACGTTGTGGGCATAATGACAAAATCATTGTTCTGCATGGTGATAATGTAACTTCATCGTAAATTGCTGGGCACTTTGCGCAATACTAGAATATGATAAATTAGTTGTATTCCATTGATTGAGGTGTGTAAAAATCTTTATTAATTTTTAGCTAGATAAAATTCTAAATAATAAACGAATATGATAAAAAATCATAGAGTAGCGAGTTTAAAGGGAGGAATTTCTCGAGCCCTAACCCATAAAATGAGAGTTCCTTCCCGCTACTCCGTGTTATTAGCTAAATTAAAATCATTTCTACTATCTATCCAAGTACCTATTTTATTTAAAGTACTATCTCTAAAATCACTATTATTATAATAAATTTTTTATAGTTTCTTTACTAATCTTTTTCATTTCAAGACTATGAATCTCAACAGACATCATATTACACATATCATCTAAAGAATAATTATTGTTTGTCATAATCTTATCAAAAGGAATTTTAAAGTGATTTCTGGTTGTTTAGATAATATCAAAAAAAGATAATTGGCTTGAGTCATTGAAAGAACTCAGAGAAGAACCAGAAGATCTGGAAGAAGAACCAGAAGATCTTTGGGGAGAATTAGACAAAGGTATAGATAGGTTAGCAAATTGTTCAGATATTAATGGTGTTGCAGAACCTGTTTTAGTTAAATGATTTAACTGATTATGAAGAGAATTATAATTGATTGTGATTTTATTAATAGTTTTAATTATGATATTTGTTATTGTTACAATTCTTTGTCTTTTAACAACAAATGTAACATCTTATAATATAATATCTGTAGTTAATCTTTCAACATGTGCATTGAATTTTGTGATAAGTTATTGTTTAACAATATATATGATAAAGCACATAGTAACAAAAATCAAATAAATAGTAATTTTTTTTGCGAATAACATTAGACACATAAAACTAAAAATAATGTAATTTCTAAAATATTAATCAAAGACATCTATTAATAGAAAAAAATCATTAATATAGATATATAAGTGTGGAATAACCTAGCAAATATGCAACTCAAAATCAATCTTAATTCTTGTAAAACAGATGAAATAAATGAGGTTTATTGTGTCATTCTTAGCAGGACTTTTATGTTAAAAATTATTTATATTATTTTGATAAAGTTAAAGTACAAGATGTAAAAGTTTATTAAATGTTTTAATTATTTTTATTTTTACAGATATTACTAATAAAAGTGTAAAAGAATTGACTAAAGATTTTTGAAATCCTTTTATATAAGATTTCATGACCTAAACATATAAGTGATATTACTTTGCAATAAATCTAATTTAATTTTTTTGTTGGTAAAGGCTAGAACATACTAGAAAAGTATTAATTATATTATTATCATAATATAAATGTAAATTTTAATTTTGAAAATGAAAAGCTGAATCTAAAGACTTAACAATAGTAGTATAAGTAACTTAAATCAAGATAGGTATTATTTATGAAATCTAGTAAATATGATAAATTATTACAATTATAATAATAACTATTATATCAAGATCTCAATTAATATATACAATATCTAGAATCTGACTTGTGTAATATTACTCAATTTTGGTTAGATGTTAAAATTAATTTTATCATTTTAATTATATTTTAGAAGTAAATCACATATTATCAATTATTAACAAAATTATTTTATTTTATTAATAGAAGCAGTAAAGTTAATATATTATTCCTTATATTATAAAAACTTCTATAATAACTTTGATATATAGGCCAAATACTATGTATATATTACTGAGAATATACTAAAAAGTTTGAGTAAAAATATAACATAATAATAATAATTATTTTTTATAATATATTAGTAGTTATACTGTAACACTGTACAGTATAACTACTAATATCAATAAATATAATATACTATAAATTTTATAATAATTAATTTATTAATCTGAAGGATATATTTCTATATAGGAAGGTACTTTACAGAAAATTAAAAAAAAATATATATATATTTATAATAAAAAAATATTTTTAAAATATAATAATAATATTTT